CGGCTATGACGAACGCTATATCGCCGAAAGTTCGAGAGATCTCACTACGTTCCAGACACCGTACGGAGCCATGCGGCTTACTACGCTTCCTATGGGGTGGACAAATGCAGTACCCATCTTCCACGACGACGTAACCTATATACTTCAGCCCGAAACTCCCGAACACACTGTACCCTACATCGACGACGTTCCGCTCAAAGGCCCGGCTAGCGACTACGGTGGCGAAGTCATTCCGCAGAATCCTGGCATTCGAAGGTTCGTCTGGGAACACTTCCAGAACCTTAACCGGATCGTCATCAGGAAAAAAGCATTTTACTTGAGCGCCTTGTGCAAGTCGCCCAAGTACAATTGGTTTAAAAGACAAGTCCCCTGCCAATTTTGCTCGACCAAGACACCCAAGGCACGTAAATGGCATGAGGGCCTTGTCAACAGGTCAATGTCATGGCCCCGCACAGACTACTTGTAGTTCATGGTATGCTTTCCTGCCTACAAAGCCTTTTATTACTAATCGTACTTACTGTCCTTAACAGCAAGGGTGGGTGTGATATTTGGGGCTATTACTTATTATCCTTGACAGCAAGGTGCATGTGAAACACGTCTTTGTGTCAAGGCATCTTACTAGTTCATTCTCTCTGGCTTTGATTTTTGCATTGGTAATCAGATCAAATTTGCATGGTGTACAGCTACAATACAACATCACGACGAACGACACAGTACAACAGAGCATACGACAGAGCAGAACAAGCCCACAACAAACCTCAGAGCATTGAAGAGAACTAATGGTACATACACTTTCCGAGTTTGGTATGTAGACGTGTAGCATGTAGATAGTAGGTATTCTATAGAAATCAGCGTTGATAAATGAGGTCCTGTAGAAGTCACAGACGCACCTCGGAAAGCGTAAACTTGAACAGTACACTACGACTTATCACCGCAGTCCCTCAGGCAGCGACCTCGGTCTCATCCAACTGGTCGAGCTCCTCAGCTCCTGGTGCGCGTCCGTCGTCCGTGACCCGTCCATCACCGTCGTCATCATCTGAAGCGGCGTCTGGTTCTATGCATCAGTAGGTTGCACATTATCAATGTGCTCCACTCACCTGGCTCTGCGACCTCGCCAACGGCCTTCCCTTTCGAGGAACTCGCCTTCGCCCTGGAAGGTGAGCTCGGGGCACTTGTTGCCGCAGGAACGGCCGATGTAGATGACGGCTTGCCCGTGTGCCCCGTCGTCTTCTTTGTCGCACCACTGGACGAAGGCTTCCTCCGCGACGTGCTGGCGGATGCGGGGTTTGTCTTCGCTCCGCTGCCAGAAGCGCCAGCGTCATGTTGATCCGCAGGTTCCTCGGCTTCAAGTGCGACGGTTTGGAGCTTTGACCAGTTGACGAAGGTGCCATCTTCGTCATCACTATCCTTGGTCTTGATGTCACCGCCGCTCTCCGCTCTCGCCCTGGAACGACTGATTCAGCTGCCACGCACCGCGGATCACTGGCACTGCGACCTCACCTTATGCTCTCCCACAGCTGCCTCTTCGTAACCTTGTAGTAGTCGGGCGCGTTGTGCTCCATAGCCTCCAGGATGGACATCAGGTCGTCCCATCTGTAGGATTGTCAGTACTAGGTCATGCATGAACGTCAAGATGACAATCAACTTACTTGGGTGCGAACACCTTGTTTGAGAACGACACAGCCGTGTTCGTCGCGACTTCCCTCAAGCCAAGTTCAATCTGGACAAAATAAATTGAATACTACGGATTTGAATGAGAAACACACTTACGGAGTTGCACACTAACGCAATTAGGTTGTCTGGGACCTTGCTGAACTCCTCCGTCGGCGTGGTTGCCTTGGCATGGCCCATGAACCACTGCTGTGCGATGATCTCGGCGATCGCGGGGTGTCGGAAAGGTGTATCAGCCTTGACGTGCGATTTCTGATGCGTAACATGAGACATGCATCGTGCAACGGAGGAATGTTAAGGTCAGTGAACAGTGAGACTGACCTCCTTGCTGATGTTATCCTTGTCGTCCCAAACAACCTGGATGTCCCCGAACACAAAATTCGGGATGCCTCGCTTGCCACCCCTCACCTTCATGGCATGCGTCGTCAATAGCCAGGTCGCAAGTTGAGTCCGCTTGTGGCCCTGCACGACGTTCAAGCGGTACGCGTGCTCGACGATGACCTTCGCCTTTCTTTTCACCTCGTTGCGAAGCTGCGAGGCGATGGTCCAAATCTGCAGAGTGTCAACTACAATCGAGGAATTCAGTAAAGTACGTACCAAATCCTTGACCTGCTTGCGCTGGGCGTGATTCTCCGGGCTTTCCCCACGTCTCAACATCCTGTATGCAGTGCGTACCGTCACCATCTTCTTGCCGTCCTTGTCCACGGAGTCGCGCGCAGCTCTCAGGGCATCCCCGACGAGCTCTTCATTCATCACGAGGCGGGAGCTCGTGATTGTCGTGTCCGACGTCCACGCGGTGCTGAGAGCCAGTATATTGCGTAGGCAGTTCTGCGCCATGGCGACCAACGGCTTCATGTCGACGGCCAGGTCGGCAACTTTCACGCGGACACGGGGCTTCGGGTTGGTCTTCTGCGAGGTACGCGCCTTCTTCACGTTCTTCTGCGGCATCTCCTGTCTCGTCCAGCGGTGTTGTCAGGTTCCGTATCATTAGTGGGATAGTATGTGTCAATGAAACGGTCAACGCACTATGACATCGTCCTCATCCGAGCTTGACCCCCTTCCATCATCGCTCCCAGCCTCCGAGCTGCTTGAGTGTTTGGCCTTCGCCCATTCATCATCATCTTCGTCCGACGAATCCTGTTTTGAGGCTCGTGCCTTGCCCTTCGAGGACGCTGTCTGGTAACGCACAAGCAGTGGGTGAGTATGAGTCAATATGAGGTAACATACGTACCTTGCTGGTCTGAGTTGCAGCGCCACCTGCCTTCTTCGCTGGAGCCGCCTTCTTCCCTGAAGCCGCCTTCTTCTGCGATAACTCCTCGTCACTGCCTTCCTCATCGCCGTGCGCGCTGTCCATCTCCACCGACTTCTTCTGATTTCTGTTGCTTGTCTGAACAACATCTGCAATCGGGTCCGAGTTCAGTGAGTGATGAGCGTACAGCGGTAAACTAGTACGCACCGAATTTCTCTGCGATCACCTGCTCTCCCCCCGTGAGCTTGCCCGTGCCCGCACCCCTGTAGGCTGGCCTGGGTTTAGCTGAGAGGAGGCGCAGGTCAGAGTATGTGCACGCAGGATTTACTGTACTCACGACGAGATGGAGCCGGCGCAGGCTGCTGCATTGCGATATCGCCATCGCTGCGCTCCTGCTCTCGGTCATCCTGACCTGCTTCCTCACCTTCGCCTCCATTGCCGCTATCATGATTGTGGTCATCGTCCGACTCCGAAGCCGGTAGGAGCACCTTTTTCTTCTTGCGCACGGGCTGCGGGTCTTCGTCCTCGGAAGCTTGCTCTTCGATGGCCAAAGCGGCCGCACGCTTGCGAGTGTCTGATGCCGAGCTTGGGATGTAAACTCTCGCACAGGGTCTCACACTGGCGGTGCACGTACCTTCCCGCTGCTCATCGTCCTGCTCCTTCTGCAACGCCGCCTTGCGTTTCAGCAGCTCATCCAGCTGCTTCTGCTGCGTCGTTGACCACCCTTCGCCGCCGTCGCCTTCGCCTGCCCCCTTGTCGGACTTCTTCCTTGCTGTCGCGGATTTTTTGTTTGCTGCCAAGGTCGATTTCTTGCTCGCCGCGGGTGACTTAGTTGACTTCACTGACTTCTGATCCCGCGACTTGCCAGCCCTTGTCGTCGGCCCACTATCCAGTTCTTCCTGCTTCCTGGCAGTGGATCGAGTAGCGCGTGGGCTAGAGGACATGGTGCGATGCTGGCGAAAACACAGAAAGGACGGGACAGGACGGGTGTAAACAAACCTCAAGCGAACTCTCCGAAGTTCCCGCGAGTGCGGCGTGCGTGCCCCAAGGCTGACATGTCCGACCAAGTCCTGACAGTGTAAATAAGTGCAGCTAGGGCAGTGAGTAATTGCAGAGGCATGAGCGTACAGTGAACCGTAGAAATGTAAATACAGTATTAGCAGAAATTCGTATTAGCTGCCCACCCATTAAAGTCCCCCTCCTTCCACTTGGCCATTTCACGATCTGAGTGTAAAACGACAGATGCGCGTTGGCCGCGGTAGTGTAGATTGTAATGAGTAAAGCGATACAGGGGAAAATACATAGGTGAGCGTGTTGAAGCGGTACGACTAGGCCGGCTTCGTGCAAGCAGAGTTCGCCACCTTCGAAGTCGCCTATGGGAAGTACGAGGCATATTGAGTCGTCGTGGCTGTCTCGGTGCGCTTGGGTGGCGACGTTCACATTGATGACGAGACCGAGGAACGGGTGGACAGGGGAGGTATGGTGATCCGGCAGAATGCTAGCTGTAGCATCTAAGTATGAATATTCTTCGGGTAATATTCTCCGGACCTGCATGAAGAGTACGAGGAATTGAGGCATTCAATACAAATCCAAAAAAAAAAACTCACAGTCTCTTCGATCCAGCAGAATGCGTTGTTCAGAATCGTCTTCAGAGCGTCGTATATCGGCCTGTGCTCCTCGATGTCCTTCGATGGGTAGGGTAGCATTTGAGCGTAGTTAGTTCTAGAACAGTTCGCTCGACTGAGCATTCGAGGCGGTACATCGACAGGCGCATCGTGACCCTCCAGAGAAGTGTCAGTTGTCTGAAATGAATTGAGCAATCAGCGATGCGTACCTTGGTGCAGTGTCTGTTGTACCATGTGAAATACAGCACGGCGAATTCAATGGGCTGACCGCAACTGAGCGTGGCGGTATCAAGAGTCTTGAAGGGATTGATGGGGAAGCAGGCGACGAGTTGTGAGGTGAGGTCAACCTTGAGAGACGCAGGCATGGATGTGCAGATGCACACCATGAGATTGTTGTCTGCGTCTCGAACAGTCAAGACATCTCTGAGGAGTACGTGGGCGAGCATGGCTCATAAATCAACGGTCTCACGGAACAGGATGTACTATATATACTCACTGAACACATTCTAAAGGCACCCTGATGTACACCTCGTCGTTGGATTTCTTCCCGTCGACATAGAGCTTGCTGAGCTGGGCCAATATAAGTCGGCGCAAGTTTGTAATGGCACGGTCAACCAACGTACCAAACTTTGGAACTCTTCCAGACTTGCAGGTGCGTCCGCTTTGCCGGCTTTGACTCTAGCCCGTTCTGTCCATGCAAAGCTATCTTTGTTGCAGCCTCGTGACAACGGGTACCTGGTGTTGTCTGGGTGTTGAGCGTTGTACGTCGTATGAACTAGATGCTGGTTGTACGCGTTCACCGGCACAGGGATTGATGGATGGTGCATGGTCTCTTCCGGTAGCGTGGAGAAGAGAACCATGGGCGAGATATGCAGACTGGAAGACGTGGAATCTGGCTGGGTTAGAGGTGATAACCCAGCCAGATCGTCTGTTCCGTCAGGGTGGCCGCCTTGAGTGGAAGCTCCCTTCAAGAGCCTGTCTGGAACGTCGTAACAGGCTCTCCACGTCTCCGTGCAGCGAGGTACTAGACAGAAGGCGCTAGAGGTATGTGCTTCAACACGAGCACTTCCTAGGTATTCAGCAAACACTCACTTCTTTTTAAGCCCATCAAACAGCTTGTCGGACGCGTCAATATTGCTGCAGTCATCGTCACCGAGAAAACTGTTATGCTTCACAGGTATGATGTCCGATAGACGGAGTGTAAGGGTGTTGCGCAGCAGCGCGAGTGCGGGAATGAGAACGTGTACGACCTTGCGGCCCTCCGGAGTGTCTACAGATAGTCAGTACGGCATATTAAGCAGTGCATGTCGAGGCTTACCGTTCGGCCAACGCATGAGGTTACCTACGTCTTCAGCGACGTGGCCGTCTGACGTTCCTATTGGGATCCTGAGGTTCTTTGCTGCCACCAGGACAAGAAGATACAGAGAACCTGTGCATATGATCAGCCTACCGTCAGTTGTTTCTAAGTGCATGGAAACGCTCACCGCCACCAGCTAATCTTGTGAACTTTATACCCATTGTGTTCCAGTCTTGGAATGTCCGCACCTTCGGTGGCTCGTCGACGCCGTCAAATGAGTCGCGCCATATCGCCGCAACACTCAGTTTGAGCTTGCGCTTTTTCGCTGCCAGGATCATGCTGGAACAAACGAGATCAGAGTCGAAACAATTACATCAGGAAAAACCGCCCGCAGGGCCGGAGCTCTTAGAATTGATTTGAAGATAGCCAAACCGGTTTGAAGCGACCAAACCGCTCAAACACGACTCAATACAAGTACCCCTGTTTAAAGGTGTCAGAAATTTATCAAACCAGTTGCAAGATTGCCTCGTTTGCTTGAATCAGGTTGTTGTTGTTTGGTCCTTACTATGAATACATCCATAGCAGCGCTCTCCACGGGGAACATTTGAGTTTGGTATGATTGAAATGTCTTCAGAGAATAGCAAAAATATGTTTAATGACTTTCTTGTTCTCTCTCATTTGATTCAAAGCACACGGTTTCAGGGCCGCTGTTCCCTCAGGGTTGTTATTCCTCAATTTATTTACCCGCCCGGATAACGCACATTCATGAATTAGCTGTCATAAATATATCGATTTCGTACATGGGCGTGATGGGCGACGGTACACAGCGGCAATCCTACACGACGGGTATGCGAATGCGGTGGACATGGATACAACGTGAGGGGGCTGGATATCATTGGAGGGCAGCGGAGAGCGGTACAACAACAGAGCACAATAACGCCAGCGGAGATGATACGCATGAGGATGACGCCAGCAAAGACGATGCCAGCAAAGATGAGGAGAGAGGGGAAAGACAGTATCTTACAAGCGACCCTCCAACATTTGAGCCCTGTGGATAGCTCAGTCTTGCAACCTACTGATGAGATAACCCACGCACCTAGGCCTTATCCTTGGACGCAGCATTGGACGGCCCAGCCTGAGCGTTGTCGGGAGCACCACCCCTCGACCGCCACCTCGCCTTCACCTTCCCAGCGTTGATGAGAGGGTCTAGGTCCGCATTGGACTTCTCCTCGCCTTGCCCACTCTGCGAATCCACCCGAAGCCCAGCGAACACCCTGAACAATTGTTAGAAATGTAATCAAATAAAGTCAGCCGCCTACCTGATGTTCTTGGACAGACTGGCGTTCAGGGACTCCGAGAGGTTTTCCCAGCCCTCGTCATAGTCCTTGTTGTTCGGATTGGCCAACCGACGGATCATCTCCACGCCAGACAGCAGGCGATCGTACCTATTGAGTGTCAGAACTATCCTGTGAGATGACTGTAATATGTGGCCTACGCTGGGGCGTACACCTTCTCCTGGAATTCCACCGTGTTGTTGTCGTTCATCCACTCGTCCAAGGCCACGAGAATCTGACATTCGGATCGTCAAGCTTGTTAATGGCACATCAGTAGGCATAATTACTCACCGCACTGCACGCCAGGGCAATCATGTTGCTTGGGATGGTCTTCAACGCACCGTCAAGGTCAAACCGTTCTTTGCACGCCGGGCGAAACGCGTCCGGGTTCTGTCCGCGGAACCATTGGTTAGCGATGACCTCGGCCACGCACAGACCATGGAACGGCATGTCCAGGTCTGGCTCCTCCCACAGCTGAGTGGCGTCAGTTAGCAGCACACCGCGAGCTCAAGATCGAAGACTTACCGATGGGTCAACCTCGGGATCCGGTAGCACAAGCTGCCCGTAGTGAAAGGTGTTGTTGTCTTTCAAGAACTTGATGCGATTCTCCCGGGCTTTCTTCACCTTCTGGTTGCGCTCGACAGCATCCACCGGTTTACCGTCGGCCCCAACCTCGGGCAGCCTGATAGACAAGAACTCTTTCTCCACCACGCGCTTCGCCTTCTGCTTGAGCTCCTGCCGAAGCTGGGGTGCAGCCTTGTTCACCTGGAAAACGTGAATATGGTTAGTACTGAATGATGAGGGGAGCTAACACGTACGTATGCGATGATCTTGTTCTTTGTCTTCTGGAAGGCCCAGTTGGGCTCGAACTTCTTCTGGAAGTCCTCCCTCTGGTACCTGACATTGCTCGTTATGAGCCGCTCAACGATGTCGGCAGTCGCCGCATGCTTCTCGGAGACGCCTTTCTTCATACGAGGCCAAGCGTTCTCCAGAGCAAGGTACACCCTAAGCTCTTGTTGGGCTTTCCCCAGAAGACTGCGGACGTCGACGTCCTCCATGAGCTTCTCATACGCGCCAGCGGTAGGCTCATTCTTGCCCGCATCGGACTTCTTCGCGTCGGCCTTCTTCCGCGGTTGCCTCCTCTTCTTGCCCTTCGACTCGGACTCTTCCTCCATCTTCACAATCATCTGACCGAGAAAGCTTCAGCCCACAGTTCAACTGGCGGAGATGGCTTACCTCGTTCGGAGCTTCCTCGTCTTTCGACAACAACTGGTCCGCGCTCTCATCCTCGTCCTCGCCATCGCCGTCCGAGCCCTTGTACGAAGAGCCTTCTCCGTCCTGTGAGTCATCCACGTCCATGGGAGATGGCTCTCTCCTGCTGGAGTTGCCCTTTGCCACACGTTTGCCTGTCAAACGTCTCTCAACCTGTCGACCATATGGAGACACCTTCTCCGGAATGTGTTGTACTCACCTTCAGCCTTCGATGAGCGTGTCTCCTTCCCTCGGGGATCCCCCTCCTTGTCGCTGGTCTCCAGCTCATCCTCATCTGTGCTGTCAAGAACGATGGGAGCGGCTTTCTTCTTCGCCTTCGCAGTCCTCGAGCCTGATAAAATGTTAGGCTACTGAAGTGCGGACGCTATGCTCTCTCACCAAGGTGTGCGGTCAAAGATTGCTCATCTTTCGGAGCCTGCGTTTTCGGCGGAGAAGTAATCGTGACCTCCACGATCTTACGCTTGTTACCTGTTGATAGCTCTTATGAATGATATCTTACCAGCACATGCGCAATCCTGAAACTTATCTGACAAACTCACCCGCTGCTGTTGCCTGTTCCGCTGACTGATCCTGACGTTGAGTCCTGGTCTTCTTCTTCTCGGGCTTCTCTGACCCAGATTCGCCATCGCTGTCCTCGTGGTCGGAAGAAGGCACGTTTTTCCTCTTGCGCGGCCTGGTAATGGGTGTGGACTTGCCCGGTGACCCTGGAGCAGCCTCAGACCATCCCTCGCCACTTGAACTGATTTTACTTACTTGGTTTCTTCCCTTCGCTCTTCGGCGGTATCACTAGCTCATCGGTCCCAGACCCAGCACCGTCGTCAGATCCCCCAGCCTTTGACCCTTCCTCAACAACGTCCTCATCCTCCTCCTCGGCCATCATGGCCTTGCTCTTGGCTTGGACATCTGCATCTCTCTGTAGCGCTGTGTACCGTGACAAAGTAATGTAGGGGACGTACCTTCCTGACGCTCCTTCTCACCAGAGACCGCCTTGGACCCCTGAGCCATGGTCGACCGAGCCAGTGCGTCCAACTCCTTCTCCGTCATGTGCGAGAATGCGGGTCGCAGCCCCTCCTTCGTAACCTTGAGCCGAGCTGCATAGCTCATGGCTGGTACAGCACCAGCTTGAGAATCAGCTTTGCTGGTCGAAGACTTGGCTGCCACCCCTGTGCCAGCAGACTTCTTCGCCGCAGGGGTCTTCGCCTTGCTCGCCGCCGGGGTCTTGACCTTGCTCGCGGCCGCAGATGATCGGGTATTGCGCGAACCCATGTTGTGAGACGATGAGCGTGAAAAGATTGAGCAAAGATGATGAACTAGGGGTTGAAAGTCTACCTTCAAACTTTGGCCGATAACGCTAAACCTTGAGCTTCTGAACCGGAGACGCGGAGATGCGCGGAACTGAGGTCCGCTCTCTCCGAAGGACCGACGAAGGGCTTATAGTCTCAAGCGATTGCAAGAGCTATGGGCAGCGGCAGAGCATGAGGGCGGTTTTCCACAACATAGCCAACGGGCAAGGAGACGTGGTTTCATTGCAGGGCAGGTAATCAAGGTTGCCCAGGGCATAACGTACGTACAGGGCGCTAAGGTTACCGAAAATGTGAATTGCCGGCCCAGCCGTTACGGCCTTCCTTTGTCCACCTGTCTATCTCTCTGTCCGTGTGCAGAACAATGGACGCGCGACGCCCGGTAAAGTGGAGGTTGAAGTGAGTAATGCGTGACGAAGGAAATGCAACAAAGTCGCCATTTCGAAGACCGAGGGCTAGGCCGGGCTCGTACAGACAGAGCTCGCCTCCGTCGAACTCTCCAACCGCCAAGACGACACAGAGTGACTTATCTTGCTTGTCTCTGTGAGCCAGAGTGGCCACGTTCAGGTTGATGACAAGTGACAGGAAGGGATAGACCAGAGAACTGGCATTCCCAGGTAATACCTCCGCGTCCATGCGTAGGTCTTCATAGTCCAAGCAAAGCGTTTCCTTGAGCTGTATATATATTTAACCACTCAGTTCAGTGGGTAGATAGAGCCACATACCTGCTCTGCCATCCATTCAAACAGGTTTTGGAAGACGGATTGCAAATTGTCGTAGATGTCTTTGTATTTACCGGTGTCTTGAGACGGGTAGGGAAGCATTTGGCCGTAGTTCGTTCGAGTATTGTCGTCTTTCTCAATGAGTATTGGGTGTGCGTCGACTGGCACATCATGGCCCTGTGATAGCCTATCCTCAGCAAGAGGTATCATACGGACATTAGAGACTTGAATGGAGGCACTGACCCTTGTCCCGTGCCGGTTATACCAGGCGAAATGAAGAGCGGGGAAGCTGAAATCTCTTCCTTCCGATGAGGAGCACGTTTCTCTGAGATTCTCCCCCTGATCTTCGAAACAAGCAACCAAGTTGGATATGAGCATCTCGCGGATCTCTTGCGGCATGTTGGTGAACAGGCATGCCACGAGAGACCCCCTACTGTCCTGGATTCGAATGGGACCCCTTTCAAACCGTGAGGTACACAGAGTTAACAGTTGGATATTCGCTTACGGTGCGAGGCCAGGCCTAATGGCAACGTATTCCTTGGCTTTCCGTCCTTTAGTGCCATCTTGAACAGTGGGAGACAGCTACAGATAGGTTGCAACCGATGAGAATGAGCCTACACGGTTGCATGATCGAATGAAGGGAACATACCAGGGCTTGCAAAGCCTCCGGCGTTTCGGGTTTCAGCGCTGCTGCAGCCAGCAATCGCTGAGTCTCCGTCCAAACAAATGCTTCTTCAGGGTCATTAGGCACCGGGTACGCACGATGCCCATCGAGGCTGAGATTGACGTCCGTCATTACGATGCATGTGCCCGGTATCTTGTGATTCGTCATCTCAACATCGGGCTGTTCGCCGTGGATTTCGTCCTCATCTTCGTACACATCAGACAACGGAGAGGGAGGGTCAATCGCGCCTTCGACGTAGGCATCTCTGCGGAAGAGATTTTGACTGGCCCGGGTGAGCGGAACCACGTCGCTGGGGGGATTGGCATTGGGAAGTAGGCAAGCCGCCCACATTTCCCTGTTCCTATCCACGGAAGTGAAGTTGCTAGCACCATATATAATCAGCATAGCGCGTTTCAAACGTCTCTGGAAACTCACTTGAGTATCAAGGAGCCGAACAATTTATCTGAGTGCTCGAGATTGGAGCAATCAAGCGCGTCCGACGACACACCAAGTTCTAGCAGCATCTGAGGAGAGTACAGCGCGTCAAATTGCAGAGGTAGCTGTCCTCGTATACGCTCTATAGCCGGAATGATACGCTGAATGACTATATCACCTGCCGTAGTATCTGAAGACCTATGTTAGTCACGGCGAGCTGCGCCGCCGCCCAAGTGACCGCGACTTGTTGAAGTACTCACTTGGGTCGGGATCACGTAGAACGTTAGCGACCGTCCAAGCAAAGAGACCAACTGATTGTACGAGCTCTTTACGCTGATCAGCTAGAGCTACCAGCAGGACAGCGTAGATAGATCCTGCCAGAGAGGGCGCATGAGCCATATTACTTGGTCGCTGTAATGTCAAGCAACCTACCCCCTGATGCGATTGCCGAGAATTTGCTTCCAATCTCGTTCCAGTACACAAATGTTCGTTCGCTCGGCGCAAACTGGCGACCCTGGATATACTTCTCATACACCTGGGTGACGCTCAGGTCGTTGGCGCGTCTTATGCTGTCCCAGAGACTTCAGATTAATAGACGGAACAATCAAATATGTTTGAACTGACTTTGAGGTTTTGCACACCAACTGCATGTAATGCATGATGAGGAGGAAACTGACGCATTTGTCGGCAGTTGTAATTCGTGAACATCTGTGAACAATCGATTCCAGAGTGTTGTCGAGGAATCCGCTCCCATGGTCTCCTTGTTTTAACAGCACCCGTATGGACGAGAGCTGAGAGCGGCTGCCGTCTGAGCCTAAGTCGATAGATGCAGAGAGGCGGGCAAAGAATGCTCCGATGGCTGGCGTCGACTGGTTGAACTGGTCTCGACGCTTGACCCATCTCTTGACTGAGGTGCCGCTCTTACAGTGCGTGGGAGGGAGGACTTCTCTGTCTGCTCTTCTCCCAGGTTTAGTGGGTTGCTTGTCGAGCTTTGCCGTCTGAGTGACCCGGTGATGCGTCGACTTCTTGGAAGTCTGGCAGCGCTTTGAACGACGCAGACCGGGTTCGTCCTGCCCATTTGAGTTCGGAGTATCTGCAACATGTTGTCAGATGTATCTGCGTACAGCACAAGAGACAATAACGCTCACCGTGTATCTTCTCCCCATTCCCATCCAAGGCATTGCCGTGTTCGTCTGACTGGTACGAGAACTTCATCAGGAAACCCACCCCATGCGAATTTGTGCAAATTCTCACAAATTTGCGTCAACTTCCTGGACACCCCATTTACTTGACCCCCCCAATTCCCTCGCTCGAATTTGCACGAATGGACGTCCAACATTTGCGAATTGTGAGTAAATGCATGCTCAGCCATACCAGTTGGATACTTCAATTCACATCGATTGGCCTGTATTTACACGCATAACTTGAACTGCTAATACTTTCATCTACCCTTTCGGCTCATACCTACAACTTTTGGCGGTGGACCGC